TGCATTGCTCTGACCGACTCATTCCCATCATGCATTGCTCTGACCAACTCAATCCCAGGTTACACTTTATTTCGATAGTCCACTTTAGACATTCTATTAACTATAAGTAACTTTGTAACTACATGTCAACTAATTCTCATTAATTTGCAACTACATGTCTACTTACTCTCAGAGTAGACTGTTAGGGTAGGTTTAGGGTTAGTAGAATAAGTTGACAAAGAAAGTGTTAGAAGATAGTCTTAAGTGTTAAGCAGACAGTCTACTAATACTCGACTAACTGCTAGTTGACATGTAGTTACAAAGTTACTTACTGTTAATAGAATGTCTAAAGTGGACTATCAAAATAAAGTGTAACCCCCTTTTTTTTTTTTGTAGTTATAGCTCTGGAAATGTGCTGAAATTGTTTGCTACATTAATAAATAATATATTTTTTAAATGTTCTACCCAAGACTGATTGATCAGAAGGTACACAAGTTGGTTTGAAGGGACATTTGAACCAAAAACAAAAAGACAAAACATTTACTCAAACTCATGTCTTTTCAATCCCTCATCTTTAAAACAAAAATGAAGATATTATTAATATTATCTCGTTGTCCATCCATTAAAAGTCTATTAACAAACAGAAGTCAAGCAAGCATATTTGAGCCATGATCTAAAAGTGGATCTGTCACCCATGGCTTTTCCATTTTGGCCTAGTTTTTGTTACATAAATAATGACACGGTGTGATATGTCATGTGTTGTTGTTCATCTGAAGTTTTATTTTCCAGATTTTAAGACCTGCTAAGGACCAGATTTTTATTATTTTATTACGTCCTGATATGGAAAGCCAGGGAATTCAATAGGGTGCCCTTTCTTTTTCACATGACTGTACATCTTGGATGGCCTGAGGGGGAGTAAAGTATCAGCAAATTTTCATTTTTGGGTGAACTATTCCTTTAAAAAGTATTTTCTGATGAATAAACGTCTTATGGGTTTGGAACAACATTTTCATTTTTGGTTCGACTAACCCTTTAAGCCATAATTTTAAATTTGATAATTAGTAATTTAACAAAACTCATTCGCCCATAGATACTTACTTGTTACCCTTGGTCTCTAAGGTCATGCGTTCAGGTTCTGTCATTTCCATGTAGTTCTTGGACCAGACGAATTTGGAGTCAGCGGTGAGGTTAGAGCACTCAAAATTCAGTGAAATGACGCCGTCATCGTCAACATTCACAACTATCTCGGTAGTTCCTGTGAGAAAGAAATGGCTTGTTGGATTTTGTTGAGAGTAGTTAAGTCTTGTTGATTTTGGTTTGTTTTTAGGGTTAACCTGGATTTAAAAACAACTCTAAACAGATTCCTCATTTGCAAAAGCACCCACTGTAAAGATTATGAGATTACGTGTAAAAAGAAAAAAAAAAAAGTAATTTTCAGAGGTATATCAAGTTATTTGAAGAGAGATCATGAAGACAAATGTATGAATTGTACAGAAGAAAAGGATAATTTTAATTTATTTCACATTGATTTCAATTTTATCTGCAGTAGCTTTTTTTGCAGTACAGTAAAATGTTATTTGATAAATTCTAGTTCTGTCTAGTTTAGTACCTGGTTTAGTCACTGCCTCAACTGGTTCTGTTGGATCTGATGCTTTTCCTACACCGGCTTTGTTCTGAGCGCGCACACGGAAAACATACGATTCCCCCTCCTTTAGATCCTTGATCTAGAATAAGAGAAACAACATTTACTACCATAAACCTACCCTTGTGAAAAAAGAAGTGTGCTTAATTGTATTAAATGTGAACTTGTAGTGTGCTTCAAATCTTAAAAGTATATTTAAAAAGATGACATAATTGTATAGATAATAGTTATGAAATAAAAGGCCACTTAAGTGACTCAAAGAGTGACACTTTCATGTCATAACACACTTAAGTACACTTTTAAAAGAGTGTGTTCTGACCAGTGTGTGTGTGTGTAACAGGCAGCTGGTGCTGCTGCTGGAGCTGTACAGTGCTCAGGACGTCCATGATTATCTGCGGCCGCTGGCGCTCTGTCTCTGTACTGACCGCGTGTCGTCTGTGCGCTGGACGTCCTACAGACTGGTACTGACACCAAACACTCCGCCTGCTTGCTCACTTGCTTTATTTTTTTGTCTGTCTGTCTTTTTCCTTCATTTTTCTTTTCTTTATTTTTCCTCCTTTTTTTAGTTCTTTTTTTGTTTGTTTTTTTTACTTTTTACTTATTTTTATTCATTCATTAATTTTCATGATTTTATCATTTTCATCATTTTTTATTTTGTAATTTTTAAAAACTTTTTTCACTTGTATATTTTTTCTTTTATTTTAATCTATTTTCTTTCCCTTTTTTCTTTTTCCATTTATTTTGTCTTTCCTTTTTATTTATTCTTTTGCTATTTTCCCTTTTTTAGTAAAAAAATATATATATATTTTCTTTATTTTTTGTTAATGATTGTTCTTTATTTTTTGTTCATTGTTTTTTTTCTTTTCTTCTATTTATTAATTGATTCATTTTTTTCCTTTTTTCTTGTTTTTTTATGCATTTTTTTTTATGTCCTTCAATTTTTTTTTTAATGCTGCTCCTTTTTCTATCTTTTATTCTTTGAGTCCTCTGTGAATTGTGCTCTTGAGTGAATCGTTCATGAGTGAATCGCTCAGTGAATCGCTCAGTGAGTCGTTCATGAGTGAATCGCTCAGTGAGTCGTTCATGAGTGAATCGCTCAGTGAGTCGTTCATGAGTGAATCGCTCTGTTGAGTCATTCTCAGTGAATCGCTCTCTCGGTGTCTGGTTGTGTGTTGCAGGT